TGAACCAGGGCATTTATTTAACTTTGATTAGAATAGCTAGAAGACCCTACAGGCTTTGATAACAAAGTGTTTTTGCAATTAGGGATAAGGCACAGGAAAGTGAGGAAGTTAAATTTATGCAGAGTAACAGCTGCAGTATATGCAATCTTTAGTACTTAAAAGATGAAGCTGTGCTTCTTCCAGAGGAGGAAGAGGTTTGTTTCTCAGCATGTTTGAAGATAATTAACAACTCACAGTTAAGAGGCAAGGTTGTGTTAAGCAGCTGGTCTCTTGGACTAAGAGCATGTATACATCCAGACTGCTAGTTAGCAGGCAGCTGAGCAGAGGGAGTGCAGAACACTCCTGCTGGATCCCACACGTTCAGGTACAGGACCTGGGCAACCAGCTTTTGGTGGCCCTGCTTGAGCAGGGGATTGGACGCAATGACCTCCAGAGCTCCCTCCAGCCTCACCCCCTCTGTGACTCTGTAGCACAGTTGCTCCTGCAGCTCCTCAACGTGCTGCTGCCTATTGCCAGTGCCTGGGTGGGCAGCAGCGGCCAGCGTCACTTACAGGGATGGCAGAGCAACTTCTCTACCACCCAGAAATGCTAGATCTATCAGCTGCTACTTGGTGAATAAGTGACTGGTTCAATTTAGCGTGTTGTGCCCAGGAAGACTGATATGCCCCCTGCAAAAGCTCAAGAGAAAGAAAATTTGAAGGACCTAGAGCATGTAGCATAGGTATTTAAATGCTAAAATACCTATTACCATTGCTAAACTGACCTGTTTTTGGTGCCCTGGGTTACTGACATTAATAGTGCTACAGAATATCACACCTGGTGACTTGATGCTTTTATCTTACTATAACTAGCTGAATGTGTTGTATCTTCATTGCAATACAAAAAAAATCAAGTACTTGTTTCTTGAGCTACACTTTGTATTCATGGTCTATATGCAGCAGTTTGTTTTCATTACTTTTATACTTCAGTTTTATTGACCAGGGTGAAATTTTCTTGTGAGACTTAAAACAAAGGCCTTATTCACAGCTTTGTCTTTACATAGCCAATAGTTCTAAAGGCAATGGGTTTTTTCCCCAGTGGAATATTCTTTTGCCATTTTAAATAAACGGAACTGTTGGTTGACACCTTTTGGCCTTTCTCTTGTGTTTTGGCTACTTTATTATAAAGATGATGTGTCTGCCAATAGTTTACTGTACATATCATTTTAAAGTTGTTTGTGCAACTAAAGAATTGCAGCTCTGAAGCCTAAGGCAGTATAGATGCTTTTAATTCACTGCATTGTTGCAGGTCAGTCTGCATTACAGAGTCCTTAGAAGGTGGCTGTTAGAAAAACTTTTTTTTTTTTTTAATTGTTGCTTGTATTGCATCACTGACTTTTTTTCTTCCTCAACCAAACATCAATAAACTCAACTTGAATTTCTCATTTGAGCTGATCAGTAGGATCACTGATCTACAGCTAAACTTTGTAAGCTACGAAGCTGGCCCACTGCCACATCATTTTTCTCTGGGGCTATTAAGTGACACAATCCCTTGTCTCACACTTACCAAGCTTTTATATTAACTACACAGCCAGAAGAATAATAAAGGAAATAAACTGTTGGTGAGATGAAGGATAGCAGGAGTAAAGAGTAGGCAAGAGAAAATGAGAGGTGTTGAGCGCATGTGGCCAATCCACTTAAGAATCTTAGTAGTAACAAAAAGCAACCAGTGAAAGGACACAGCTCTAGAAGTCTAGGTTTTAAAAAAAAAAAAAACCAAACCACGAAACAAAAAAAACCCCACCCACCACAAAAAAAAAAAGAGCAAAGCTAGATCAGATAAACGCACTTTGATTTCCTGTAAGCTCTGCACAATGGAAATGACCACAGCAGGTTTTCCTGGACAGCCTTCCCCACAACTGAAAGCTCATTTCAACGGCAGCCACATAGATAGCAAATAAAACCCACCACCATCATCATCACCTTGGTATTTCCATTTATTATGCTGTAAAAAGCAACACTATCTGGATTTTATTTCTTAAAATAAATAACTTTCATTTTCAGAACCAGTACATCTCAAGTTTAGATTCATTCATGGGAAACTGCTAGAAATACATTCATCACTGTCCATTCCCCACAATACAGAATCTAAAAGTCAGGATCAGCCCAGTCAGTTACAATGAGCAGAAGTACACTGCCAGTAAGTATATCACTGATAGTCCAGTTCTGAAGCAAAAAAAAAGAAAAAATCTGGTACAATACATTTTGTTCACAAAGATAGGCTAATTAATGCTAAGACTATCACAATATTTCTGAGTACAAAGCATTAAGTTAGCTTAACAATTTTAGGTTGTGATACAGAATAAACATATATGACATAAAAACAAAGGAGTGGGGGAATCCTCTTTGGAGCATAAGGAAGTCAGCATTTGATAAGATAACCAAAAGCTATTTACGGTAAAATCTACATGTCAGTGTCATGAATGATAAACAGCCAAACCAATGTACTGCATATACTTATATTTATAAATAACGCCATGTCTAAGTAGCTGCATCGCTGAATTGGACATTACAAAATAATGCATCTTCTCACAATGAGAAAATACTAAAACTAACCAGCAAAAATGCACTGAAGCAAAGACTGGCTAAAAGCACTCAGTATGATTCAGGAAAGCATTAAGTTTAGGGACAGCCATGATCTCTAATGTTAACTCAGTTAAAATCCTTCTTTTGGTTTGGTTTGTTGGTTTGGGTTTTTGTTGGTTGGTTGTTTTTTTTAATATACATGTATTATATAATACACCTATCTTTTAAAAACGCCAGTTTGAGCAATGCAAATTTCAGTTCAATAAAGCTAAATCAGGTATTTTTCTGAGAAGCTAAAGGATATGCTTTAATAGGAAAAAAAAATGGGAGAAGTCAGATTAGCACTGAGATACAGAACACAAAACTAGAATCCATCTGAAAGTATTCCTCTACGCTAAAGTTGACAGATCTGTTGCCAGAGAAAACATGTTGGAATTTAGTTCAGGTGCAGCAGGGAAGAGGCCTTGTGCTACTCAGTGACCGACGTGGCTCAGTAAAGAGCCAGAGGCCACGTTGTTTAGTTCTTGATTAGAACTAAGGTGCCTGTGACACAGGACGTGAAAAGAAGGGGTTAAAAGCCTTCAGAAAAATAGCTGACCTTCACAAAAAAATAAAGAGCAACTTAAGAACAGTAAGATTCTTGAGAAAAAGTGTTTGATAACCATGCCAGCCAGCTTCGAAATGCTATTTCAGGGCTTTAGACTTTCAGACTCTTCCAAGATTTCATCATCATGAAGACAGTCACTGCTTGTGATGAGTATCAAGCACTTTTCCATGCGATCTGTCCTCCCGAGAGGGAGGCAGTACGGCATATCGACGAGAGACTGTACAGGAACTCAAGAGGATTTATTCTCAACTATACCGACCTGCTGGGTCATTCTGGAGAAGTTACTTCTCTCTACGCCTTAGTATACTCATTTGCAAAAGGAGGATAATGTGGTTCAGATCATCTTTATAAAGTGCTTGGGCCATTCTAGAAAAAATTTGGGCTTATTTCAGGAGGACTTTGGTGCCTAAACACAGAAAATTTGAACTTTGAGATCTACTAATGACTTGTACACTATGTGCTACGATAAAAATAGCCACATACGCAATTCTTGAGCACAACCTCCTCTTCCATGTGCTAAACGACTCTTGCCTAAAATTCTTGTGCTAAAATTCTTGCCTGTGTCCCAACAACTGTGGTGTTTTGTGAATATCGAACTCTAAAGTGACTGCTCACTTCTGAGGTTTTATGCCACAGTATCGGCAGAAGAAATTGTACGTGGGGTAGGGAACCGTCATAACATTGTAGTTCTGCAAACAAGAAGTATCTTCGTCTACATTTCCCATGATGGGGCATGTGCCAAGCCAGCTTCAGTGGCAACACAATAAATGCCACCGTTCACCGCAAAAGGCACCACCGACTTGTGCTCCTGATGCTGAACTCTTGTTCTACACCAGCAGAATCCCACTGATGCAATGTCCTGCTGCCTGGTTGGTGGTAGTGCAAGAAGAGAACACACTCAAAAATCTGGCTTATCTCCTGCTCTGCTCATGCTTTGATTGGCTCTATGCTCCTTAAAGCTGTTTCACTCCATCCGTGTTCCTTATTACAAGCCTAATTAAGTCAGATTTACATGTAATATTTGGTTTAGTGCTTTGCCTTTCAACATAGTTCCATTCCCCTCGCTGGTTCCTGGTGCAACCGCCAAGAACACCCCAGGTGAGCCCAAACGGGGAGTTTGCAGCTTGCCACGGCTTGCTGCAGTGCAAATAGACCTCCAAGGAACACGACTGCACCGAGTGGAAGCACCCGCTTTCCCCAGATAGAGGGGAAGTACTTTAGCAGCTGAACTGGGAGAGAGAGGAGGGAGGGGAGACAAAGGGAACCTTTTGAAAGAAACGCTTCCAGAATAAAAAGAAAAAAAAACCCACTAAACACTGTTTGATGTTACGAGTCACATTCCCCTATGCCATTTGGTCAAACAAACCTTAAAACAGATTCCCTGACAAGTCTATCTCTAAGAACTAGCCTAGACCGTTGACAACTGTCACCTATATACTCTCTTGATATTATATTACGTAAACAAGGTTGTGTGGAAATTTTTTTTTTTTACACTATTTTTTTCCCAAAGATAAGTGCAGATCCTTACTCAACACACCCAGCCTAAATCTACATCAGCATCCTCAGCTTTTGAAAAACCTCACTAACGCTCATACCTGACAGTACTCTGGCTCATCGTGGCCATACTGGAAAGAGAGGGCTACAGAAACAAAAATTCAGCAGAAAAACTCCTGACCACGGACTAGAGTTCACATAGAACACAAAAATAAATTAAGTAGTGCACAGTAAAGCCAACAACAGCTAAATATTTTTATACATCAATTATATGCAGCATGAGGTAATATTGCTCACATTATGGAGGGAGATTCTTAGTTGGTTTTGTTTCTTTTGAGAGAGATTGGATTTGTCCTGTGCGTATAGAAACTCCTGTAACATAACACTGAAGTAACAGAGACTTCTGTAAAATATATACCACTATCAGATAGAAACACACACGCTCTTCATTACTTATGTATACCACAATTAAATAGGTAAGTGATTTGATTCTTAGGATCTAGCTGAAGATGATTATAGTAGGCCATCTAGATTTTTATGAACCGTTCGGTTCTCCTTTCCGTTGTTGGAATCCTCTGATGGCGTGTATTGGACCTGATATTCTTGAAGAATTTTAAAAACATCATGGTGTCCAAAATGTAAAGCTTCATCCATAGGAGTGTTATTCCACCTGCAGGAAGGAGGGAGCACAGTATTTTAAGATCAGCACCTAAGTACAAAAGCACCATAAATCTAGTTCTTTACATACTGTGCTAATAGTTGAGCACAGAGACCACCCCAAGTTCAGTAACTATGAAAATGCTTTGTAAGCTGAGCACCACCTTTTAAATAATGGTTTTAATGGTTTCACCTTTTCTTTTATTCCTGTTTGGATCCCGTTCCTTCTGCTTCAGTGTACTGCTCAATACATGCCACTTTTCTTTTATAGACACCTCTCCTCATGAGGGCTAGAGAGATGCTGTTGGAACATCTTTCCTCCAAACTGGCAAAACCACCACTCACCTGTCTTTAGGGAAAGGATTCACTTTGCATGCTTCCAGCAGAAATTTAACAACGTCCACATGTCCTATAAGAAAAGCAGGCTTGTGAGTGTATATAGTTACATCTCTCTCTCTCTCTCTCTGTAGATACATACAAAGTTTTAAAAAGCAGGTATGCATAGAGAGAGAGGGAAGATACTCTAAAGAAAGCTGGCCACATTCCAGTAACAGAGAGCAAACCACAGGTGAGGAGACATTACCTTCGGCAGCTGCTACATGCAGGGCTGTTCGTGAGTCATAGTCTCTTTGTTCCATATCCATTCCTGACAGAGCAAATCTAAAAAAAAAAAATTAGAGAAAAGTCTTACATAATTAATTAAAACAAGTTACAAAATTAGCATGGAACAATATCTCTATGCTAAAACAATGAAACTTCTGCTGCAAGAGGATACAAACAGTATCAAGAGCACATCGTAACTTCAGTTATAATGAAAGGGGTCCTTGCTGCTTTGGCTTTTAAAAAAAGGTAGGGGCTTAACCTTCTTTCTGGTCTCTAGTTGTTGTGAAGAAAAATAAATGTCTTTGCAGGTAACGTAACGGTGAACGTATCTGATTTAAAATCTAACATGGACAAGCTAAGTCATACAAGGCAAAGTAGATTTATGGCAGCTGAGGAAATCCAGGGACGACTCCCAAGTCCGAAAATCCTGAGCAGCAGTTAGGTATTGGGAGAGTTCTTTCATCACACTACAGTGCTCTGCGACAGCAGAGCTACACTAGAGATGTTTTCCACCCACTAACTATATTCAGCTATATTCTAGCCAAATTAATATGTTTATTTAGTCTCTTACCATTATTACTTTAAACGTTGCCAGATTCTATTCCAGATTTAAAAAGCAAAGCTCGATTTCCTAACCTCTCCAACAGCAATGTGCATTTTCCAGCCTGAATTTTTGTGGCAGTTTCAGAATGGAATTATAAAGCAGGTGAGAGTACAGCTAGGACTTTCTGCCATCGCTATGAAAAAACTGGTTAAGGAAATGTATTTCACTACGATCCAAAGAAACAGAAAACAATGGGATTGCAGGATAGTGTGAGAGTACCTTTTTGTTGGTTAGGTTGGGGGTTTTTTGGGGGGGTTTTCTGGTTGGTTGGTTTTTGGGTGAACATATTCAATCTCCAGTACAGCTCGGCTGTCCCCAGCATGGAGACAGTGCCCGTGCATATTCATAAGCACACAACAGCAGCAGGTACCAAACAAGCAGCATTCCTATTCCCAACCCCGCACCGATTTTTACCTCCGGAGTGCAGACACATCCCCCGTGTAGGCAGCGAACAGCAGATTTATCACAGACTTCACCTACAAAGAGATGAAGTCCAGTTTATTTAGCTTCTTTCCTCAAAAAGAAAACAAACGGAAAACCCAGAAAAGCCTGGTGTAGCCAGTTGATCCAGTGCTCAGGGACTGGTTAATTTTATCCCCTTCCCTGGCCACATTTTGCAGTAGCGTAACGCATTGGAAGAATTCATTCCAGCTTGCTCAGCTACCAGTACTTTGAGGGCTCTCCTTCCAAGGTTGAAGTCATAAGGACAGTAAAAGAACCATAAAACGTGCATTTCTACGCTAGTGTGGTAAAAAATATGAGCCTTGCTGTACGGACAAACCCTATTTCTCTCTTTGAGTGCCCAATGATACTGAGTATTGAATTACAAAGCATCACTTTGCACAATTCATAAAACTATAAACACTTCGTAAGACAAACTCATTCCGGGAAAGAGATAATTTTTTTTCTTTTCCTTCCCCACAGAGAAGACTCCTAATGCTAGAAGAAATCTATGTTAGCAGAAGAGAAGAAATGGTGCTGGTTTTGCTTTGTATTACAGATTTTCCTTGCGTACATCTAATATAGAGGCTTGCTTCAAATAAACAATTCTAAGCAATTCTATCACATAACAAGCCACTACAAGAAAAGCAAGGTTTCAAGGCAGACAAAAATAGGATCTTTCTAGATCAAATAACATTGGTAAAGTGCCAGGCAAGTAGTGCTTTTCTCAGCTGTATTAATTACTCTAATAAGAAGTGATACTATTAGGCTACACCAACCTTGCAATTGTCCCATGCACATTTTTAACACATCCTGGCAATAACAACTCTACAAGTTTTAACAAAAGCGACAAGATAGATGGTTTTAAGCATCTCACATCAGCTTCTTTCATAAACTGGTACAGCCACTTCTAGGCACTATTTCACAGTAATTTCCAGTACACTTTCTAGATGCTGCACTGCTTTTTAAGTTCAGTCTACAAAGTTGTGTCACTGCTACCAGTCAAGTAACAGAGATAAAGGAGAAAACTGATGCTGCATTGACCTTCTACAACAGGGAGGAGAAACAAACAAACAAAAAAAAAAATCACCGCCCACAAGCAAGTCTCCCACAGATTTCTGTAAAAATGCTGGCATATTTTCACAGGGCCACAGATGAGCCAACATCTGTGCCTCTTCTGAATCAAAGTAGAGGAACTGCTTGTTATTTTTTACACCTCAAATATGCAGTGACGCAAAGAGGGACCGAAGCAAAATGAGAGGGAGGCACAAAGGCCAGGATGGAAATACAAAGGGGCAACAGAGCCACTCTCCCTACTCCAGTATCCACAAACTCCTGCAGCTCCCTTGTGGTTTGCACTGCGAGGTTCATTAAGCTCACGAGCCTTGCGCAGCAAGGGCAAGAGCTGCTCGGCAGGATCTGCAGGTCTCCATCCCTTCCCCCAAGGCTCAGCATCCCCCAGGCTCCTCCTAAACCTGACTGGCTCCAAAGGCCGGACCCCTGGGCTCTCTCAGCACTGACCTCGAAGCACCTGGGTCACCTTTAACCAAGGCTAACCTGACATCATTTCCCACACCCTCCTCACAAGCATTACAGAGGGCAGGCCTGAAGTAATTCTGTTCCTCCCATGAAGATTTGTTTAAAGCTTCTGGGGAAAAAAAAAACCACAACCAAACAACAAACACATCCCCCCCCACACACACAAAACAAACCCCCCCAAAAAACCCCCAAACCAATGACCAAGAATCCTACAGCCCATCAGAATGGGCTTTGCTCCAGATGCAGAGACCACCCACCCCCACAGCCTTTTTCTCCCCGCCATGCCCCGCAGCCAAGTTCTCCTTCTCTCCAAGCCCTGGCTCCGTACGGAGTTACAGGACCATGGGGATAAGCCCTTTGGAGCACCCGCAGGGATGCTGGGTCTCATCGCTCCTGTGGCAAACCTGCAGCTGTCACGGACACAGGGACTTGCATCACCAAGACCAGTTAAGGGCAGCAGACACCCAATTAGGCTTTCAATAGAACACATCACAGTCACACCAAAATATTAACACCTCCCAAAGGAATGTACATCGTTTCTAGATACTGGGCTGCAGACTGTATTTAAACGCAGGCGTGAGAGGGGAATTTAGTTTCATAATCTCTAAATTTCATCAAGATGATGCAGGAGTTTTCCTTGCTGAGAGAGAAGCTGAGCGCTGCTGCCTTGCGGGCAGACCGGGCTCGCTGCACTTGGACACTTCAGGTCCTGCAGGTGCTGAAGACTCTCCTTTTCAGGATCTAGGATGAGCAAAGGACATTCTGTCTTTAATACAAACCATTTCAGAGGTAACTGATCATTTTGGCTGGGCTTCTTTATGTGTCTGGGAAATGCAAATGTGTATTAAAATAATAAAATAAAAATAACACACATTCCTTCCTTACAAAAAGCCCCAAAATTTCCAAGAGCAGCTGGGGCCAAGAATCCCTCTGGATTCAGCTGAACATTTTGATAGGAAGCCATGTTCATGTTCTATAATGATGTGACAAAATGTAATTTGGAGATTCCTGTGGCTTTCTAACACAATGATCTTAGGCCATGTCTCTCAGCAATCTGGAGAGGTTAAAGCCACTCCTTTCTTAAGATAAATAATGTAAAATCCAAAGTCACTTTATTATAAAACTGAACTTCTTGACAGATCAAAACAGAAAGAAATACAAGCCCAGACAAAAAGAAAAAAGAAATCTCTGCTTGTTTAGCTCAGAAGAAGGAAATTTGAGAGGAAACACGACAGCTCTCTCTGTACAACCATAAAGGTAATGGGATACAAAAAGCAGGAGACAAATTTAGCAGGACAATTATTAGCAGAATAACTATCCAAAACTGGTCAGGACTGAACTCAAGCTGAAAAGTAGCAGATTGTAGCCATCATAGCTGAAACAAACGCCCCACAGGGCTACCTGCCTCCATTTCAAGTGAGACTTTAATGATTTTATGGAAGAACTAGGTTGGATTTCCTAGCAACAGAACACACCCTGACTCTGTAATTGCACCCTACTCTATCAGCAGCATAGTCCAGGCTAAAAAGTTAACAAATTTTATAAGGTATATAATGAAATTGCTCAAAAGGCAGCCATAAACAACGAAGATGGACATAAAAAAATGATTTCAAGAATAAAATTTAAAAATCTGCAAATACAAAATACATTTTGAATTCCAAGTAAGAATATATAGTTTCCATGAGCATCTTCTGGTACATCCCTTAGTTTTCAAGAGACTATTAATCTAAGTAGCATATATATTAAACCACCACATAAGAGGTTATCATTTACATTCAGAAGAAGTTACTATGTGAAAATAACTTGCTGCCAGAAGCTTTGCATCTGCACAAAATCTCACTTAAGCGGCCATAAAGTCAAGCACAATCAAGACTTCAGAAATGCAAGTAAAAATTCTCTACCCTCAAACTCACAGCCTACTAGCCTGAAATAACATGTCTGTTCCAAAAATCCAACAGCGAAAGAAACTCTGAAGTGGGAGCAGCAAACATATGAATGTGGGGCTTTTAACTGTAGGGGAGGGAAAAAAGATAGTGAAGATGACAGGGGAGCTGTTTGCATTCAAACTAAGTAGGGCACAAGGGACGAGGCAACTATTAAGTGTTTAGAGATTCTGTCAATGAGTTTCTCACCAAGTGGTTCATTATCTTCTATAAGCCATGTTCAGTACTGGCGTTGCTGTTAACTGCATTAATGAACATCATTTTACCCTCATCTTCAGAAACAGGAAGTTGACCTTCAACCCAACAGCCATGAATTACCTTTCTCTACGGCACAGAATTCCTTAACTATGAACATTCAATAGAAGGAGAAGGGATGGAGTCCCTTCGCTATATACGAGTTAACAGCTCTCTTGTCATCATGCCAGCAATACAGAGCACTACTCACTCAGCTACGATGAAACCTTCTTTGTACAACACTCATTCCTCTGTGCTGGATATTATCCTCGTTATCCAGGCGGTGAAACCAGCAAGGAAAGGTTCCTCAGGCATATTTGTGTCACTCAAGACTAAAGCGCAGAAGTCCCAGACCACACACCTTGTATTTTCAACTTCAGGTTAGTAGGTGTTCGAGGTCTCAGACTCAGCTGGATGAAGCTGTGATGGACTCAGTCTAACGCTGGCAACAGTCCTCCTTCACGTCGGAGGCGGCCAAACCACCACGATCTCCAGAGGCCCTTTCCAACTAACAGTTCCGTGAGTCTGTGGGTAAGAACGCTAGCACCACAAGAAAAACCAAGGCTGTTGTTGCTGAAGAACTACACCAAGGTCAAGTCAAAGGAAGGAAAACTCTCACAGTTAGAGCGGCAGAAGTCACACCGCTGCAGCAGACATTTCTGATAAACATGGGAGGCCAAAAGGAAAAAAAAAAAAGGGTAAAAAAAGAAAAGAAAAAACACCAACCCAAAATCCCCAAAGCACAAACCGAGTCAGATACGGCACTGAAAGTTACAAAGGAAAACTGAGCGTTAAAGTGACCCCTAGTCCAAAGCTTTTGTATTGCAGTTATTTTAAATATCTCCTAAGCCCGATTGCGCTAAAAGTTTGGAAGAAGTCTCCTTCGAGCAGCAGGGTTCGGATGCGAAGGCCACTGCCCATGACCGGAGGGAGCGCAGCAGGGAGCAGGGGCTGTCCCGGCGCTCCAGGGAGCGGATGCCCGGCACGCAGCAGGTACGCTCCTCACCCCATTTCTCTGTACACACACTGCCAAAGCACTTGGCTGAGAAGTGACGGTTTTTGGTTTTAGTTTCTCAGTGTACCAACCTGAAAAACCTAATGAAAAAAATGTTTAACTTCAGTATATTATATGATATATACATTGATATGTTGAAGTTACTTATTGCAAGTGGAATGTCAACACATCTGATTGATCTGAAAGGCTTGACTGATACGTGGGAATAGCCTTGGTGGATTATTTTTAACAAAACTGTCCTTCCTAGTTGAGCAGCACACCCAAATCCAGCCCACACAAGAAGACTTTATTTAAACAGTCTTAG